GAGTCGAAGGCACCTTTTATGTCAAGAAATACGACAACGGTGGGTCGCCAATGAACATGACGGTGCACCAACAATTGACGCAAAGTGAAGATGTGGTCGATGCAGCCCAGACATCGACGAAATCCGGCTTGATCTTCAAATACCTGGCTTTCACGAGTGCCAGTCAGTCTGTGGAGAATGACAGATGCAAGCAAATTAGAGGCAATTGAAAGCACACTGATCCGTCTATGACTGTTGCATTCCGAACGGGAGTCTCCCTTGAAAATCGGGACAATGACGGAGCGGCTCCAGTCTGTCGAGACAGTCTCCTGATCCCAAAGTTTCATTAGAAACACGGGTAAATCATCTATCAGAGCAGGTTCCCCGAAAGTGAAGAGAGCGGGGAAATGTCTTCTGCCGCTGCAGCCTTACGCAATTTCAACAGCCCGATCTCACGGTCGACTTCTGCGCGTGAGGGCGAATGCAAGTAGAAGGTCCAGGGAGAACGGCGCTCAATGCTCGGAAAAGAAAGCAATAACTCAGGTTGGTTAAATTACCTTGGAAACTGTTCGGCCTAACGCCCCAAACGTTTGACAGGCTCTGGATCGGATGCCCACTCCCGCCGCGTATAGCCTCGCTAACACAAGGTCTCCTGCTGCCTGTTTCCCGTATCAGACGGAATAAGCTACGATGATTGTCAACATGTAAACGCGGAGCGTCATTCCAGCACTGTCAACAGGCACATGTCCAACCAAGCGGCCCATTCCAGTTCATCGGCTTCCATTTGGAGCCCTCGATCCTCCTTCAGATTGGCATGCCTCAATGTTCGCACATTGCTTCAGATCGGTCAACAGGCAGCACTTGCACGAACTTTAGAGACCCTCTCCATCGATATCTGCTGCTTATCGGAGACGCGCCTGCAAGACTCGAGCTCTATGCTCACTTTGTGATCCTCTTCAGGTGACACTAGCAGCACTTTCTCATTGCGCCTATCCGGTGACGATGCAGCTTCGAGCACCGACCAAGCCGGTGTTTGTATTGCCCTGAGTCCCCGGCCTGAAGCTACTCTGGTGGATTGGATTCCAATCAATATCCGGATGTGTGCGGTCCGATTGGCTGGCTCGTTCAGAGCTTCGAAGTCGCGTGGGACTAACAGGTGTCTATTCGTTATCGCTGCTTATGCACCCACAAACTGTAGCGATGACTCGGTAAAAGACGACTTCTATCGTCAACTGAACGAGCTCCTTAGCCACAGAGGAAGCTCGGACACTGTAGTGCTGGCTGGGGGTCTGAACGCTCAAGTTGGAAAATTATCCACTGATGAGTTGCATTTGGGCGGACAACATGGTATAGGCTCCCGTAATGATAAGGGTGAGCGGTTACTTCATTTGTGTGAGGATGCTCGCTTATTTCTTGCGAGCACTAATTTCCGACACAGCACCCGCCGGAGGGTGACTTGCGCCCATCAGCCTCGAACAAGCTATGGACGCAAATTGATCACATTGCGATAAGTTACCGCTGGAGAGGCTGCATCCAGAACTGTCGCTCGATTTGGAGCACAGGTGTAGACATCGATCATGCACTTGTGTGCTGAACTGCGGACGCGCTTTGGCGGACGCCCACGACGACGTTGTGAGCGCATTGACACCATCCAACTGGCGAAACCAGCTGTGCTGAATGCCTATCAAAGTACGCGGTCATGCGAGTTGGATAAACGCTCACTGGATGCAATTGAAGCTCACTGGATGCAATTGAAGCTCACTGGTCTCATATTCACCAGACCTTACTAGCAGCAGGAAAATCCTCATGTGGTATGTCTAATCGCCAACATGGACATTGAGTCTCTTCACAGTCTCTGGAACTTATAGATGCTCGACGGCATATTCCGGCTGGAAGCGAACACAATGAAACTCGCAAAGAGCTTCGAGCAAAACTCCGTGCTAGCCTGAAGAGAGAAAGCGAATCCTGGTGATCTCACCGTGCATCAGAGATGAAAATGGCCGCTGCCCTTCGTAACCATTCCGTCTGATACGGGAAACGGGCAACAGGAGACATGGTATTAGTGAAACTATACGTGATGAGAGTGGACAGCCTATCCACAACTTACCAAAACGCTTAGAGCATTGGGCTGAACACCTTAAAAGGCAATTTAATCGGTCGGAATGGTTAGATTTCTCGCCAGCCACTGATCGCCCGCTCCGTCGGCTGTCCATTTGGATCCACCCTCTCGCTCAGAAGTCAAACGTGAGATCGAACTGTTGAAGTTAAATAAAGCTGCGGGATCTGATGATCTTCTTCCAGCCCTCTTCAAATTCGGGGGACCTGCTCTTGTGGATGATTTACACGAGTTACTAGTCAAACTGTGGGAGCAGGAAACTGTCCCAACCGATTGGAGCCGATCCATCATAGTCCCAATTTTCAAAGGAGGCTCACGATCGGAATGCGGCAGCCATAGAGGAATCAGTCTGATCTCCATAGCCTCTAAATTGCTTGCCTCTGTCATCCTTCACAGTCATGAAAATCGCGTTCACAGGACACGACTTAGAAGGTGTGAAGCTACTCCCAGGAGAACGACTTCTTGATTTAGAGTATGCTGATGATATTGCCCTAAACTGTGACAGCTCACAAACATGACAAGCGGCCCTGGACAGAATAGCACTAGCTGTCCGTCACTTCGGACTTTGCTTCGCACCGTCGAAGTGCAAAGCATTCCTCCAAGATTGGTCTGGACCGCCTCCTACGCTGACCCTTGGTGGGGATCAGCTAGAAGTCGTTCAAAAATTCAACTACCTGGGAAATTGTATCAGCGCCCGTGGGATGGAAGATGAGATCACGAATCGTATAGCAAAAGCTCGGGGCTCTTTTGCTAACCTTCGCCACTTATGGCGCTGGCGCGACATCACTCTTGCCCTGAAGGGTAGAGTGTACAATGCAGCAGTACGTTCGACCCTACTGCACGGTTGTGAAACCTGGCTGCTTAAAGCAGCGGACCTCAAGAGGCTAGCTACATTCAACCACCGGTGCCTTCGGAATTTAGCTCACATCTGGTGGGAACACCGCGTGAGCAACGAGCGTGTTCGACGCCTTGTTTATGGCACAGGAAAAGGAACTGAACCGCTCAGCACCGTTATTTCACGCACCAGGCTCCGATGGCTCGGCCACGTGTTACGCATGCCAGCCCACCGACTCGCACGACGTGAGTTGTTTGCGCGCCGGGGGTGTGGATGGAAGAAGAGGAGGGGTGGCCAAGCGATGACTTGGTCCAGAAGAATGAAGGCCATCACTTCGGAGCTGGCCTCGGCTGGAACGTCTCAGCTCCCTGGCTGAGGTCCGAATGACGATGAACACGTTTGGTTGGACACATTTGCTGATATGGCAAGGAGTCGACCTCAGTGGCGTTCGTGCTGTGAGTTTCTTTGTCCCACCCCATCCCTCTTAGCCTCCCCCTCCAACCACGATCTCATTATTTAGCCTTACATAATTTTGCATCGTAATTTTTTGATGCACAGTAGCCGGCTGGTAGCTTACCGGAACGATGCCCATCCATTATCGGCAGCTCAGCCAGCTTGCACCAGCTGCATTTTTTCTCCTTTTTTTCTATGTATTGCGGCACAGCAGCTGAGGTGTTTCCCACCTCTAGCTAACGTGTATGATAATGATGATGATGATTGTCAACGGCAGCGGCTGTTTCCATCTTAAAGGCACCATAAGGTCACTAGGCTTCGTGGTCTCTTTTCAGGCTAGCACGCAATGAGCTGTTTACGAGTCTCAGTGCATTTGCTTCCAGCTGGAATACGTCGGCGAGCATCCATAAGTTCCTGCGACTGTGTAAAGACCCAATGTCCAGTTTGCAACTTGATTTGCCACGTGAAGACATGCCTGCCGATAGTAACGTTTGACGAATATGCGACCAGTACTCTTCGACAGTGTTCAGTAGGCGCTTACTCAGTCCGGATGTCAACACACTTTGATACACATTGAGAAAACCTGGCTTCGCCAACTGGCTGGTGTCAATCCGTTCGCAACGATGTTGCGGACATCTACCGAAACGCACCAGGAGGTCGGCGCAGACAAGTGCGTGGTCAGAGTCCACGCTCGTGCACCAAATCAAGCGACAGTTTTGGACACAGCCTTTCCAACGGTAAATGATCGCGATATGATCGATTTGCGTCCATGGCTGGCCCGAGGCTAGTGACCGCCAAGTCACACTTCTGTAGGTGCTGTGTCGAGAGTTTGTGCTCGCGAAAAAGAGACGAGCATCTTCACACAGCCGTAGCAATGGCTCACCGTTATCATTACGGGAGCCTACACCATGTTGGCCACCCAAATGAAGCTAATCAGTGGACCAATCGACTCCTGACGTTCGATTCAAGTGATCAATAATCACTTGGATCTGTAAGTGGCCCGCATAAATCGCACTGATGATGCCGTCTAACCTGACGATGAAACGTTTGCAGCCGAATCAGCCAGCTCGGAGAATACCTACATACCCTCATACTGTTCTCAACCCAACTGAGGTGGCTGGTTTATTCGGTAACTAAAACGATCGCCAAATTGAGGCTTGGAGTTGGGAGGGCGCTCCAAACCCCCGTGGGTCACAACATTTCCGAGTAGTTTCATACCAAACAGAGATCAAATCATATCAGCAAATTATCCAGGATTCACAGCGATTTTCAGTACAGCTAAGGGCCTTCATGTCACAAGAAGATGAAAAGAAGACACCGAAAGCTGACACAGTTCGTAAGCACTTACAACCGGATGATTTAATGCATCTGTTCAGAGTTGGGCTTTGAAGTACTCGCCGTGTAGTTGGGTTCCGACACACAATCTCAACTGAGACCTCGGTCATTCCGACCACTGGGACCGTAGCCGAAGTAGAGTGGTTTCGGGGATTGTAGGACAGGTTTCATCCACGTTTGGGCTGATGGTCGGGCGATGAGAACAGATACTCAAAACGATATAGAAACGAAAGTTTTCATCTGAGGAAAGTATAAAAAGATGACCATTGAGCGGCCACTTACAGACACTGATACTTGAATTGTATGCGAAGAACTGTCCATCCACTCGCTCACATTCCATGGTAACGTGAAGAGGACATTTCGGCGACCGTTAAGAGTATTGGCTACGCTATGTGTCGCATTACCAATAAACCGATTGTCGATCTTGATGGATACGTGAGTGATTTGGGAGTTGGACCATGCGACAATGCTAAAATGAAGAAAGACAGAGTGGGGTGAACAAGTGACACCGATGAGTGTCAGCTGCGTGGATGACAATGATGTCAAGTTTTCCCAAAATGTCTGTTTACTGGCTACTGTCGCGTCGACCTGTCAGGGAGTAAAATCTCCAAGGAAAACACAGTAATTAAATGGGAAAACAAGCTGAACCGATGGTATACAGGCGAAACATCAAGTGGTCTCAGGAATGTTCATGTCCATACGACGCACGTACTTATCTCATCATTGGCTACCGGTACTGACCTACCGATCGGACAGCTGACAGCTGTACGGATACGTGAATATGCCTTGGTTGACTTATAAAAATGTCTATTGATTTCACACTACTTGTATCCGTTTCGGTAGCTGGTTCCGCAACACGCTGTTGCCGCCAAGTTTTACCTTCTGTATCTCGTCTGGGGTTCGAAGTTGGCAGGGAACGAATTCAGTTCAATTGGAATCGCAGACAGACGCATATTATAACACCCCAATCAATAACCCTCCATTCTATGGTTAGAACGCATGTTATTTTCACCTAGTGGTCTGATAAATGCTCTGTACTGTTGCTCTGCTATGCCTGATAACGGTCTGGAGTGGCGCTTCGTTCACATCTGCAACAAAGTAGCGAAGGCCTGACGGCAGACTGTGTGGACAACGGAAAGCAACCTGAATAGTTCAATGTTAGTCTCTCTCTCTCTCTCTCTCTTTCTCTCTCTCTCTCTCTCTCTCTCTCTCTCTCTCTATATATATATATATATATATATATATATATATATATATATATATATATATATATATATATATATACATTTAGGAAGCCTAATAATGTTTGAATTCCTAACCTTTATGTCCTTGTCTTTCCATGCCGAACAGCCGGACTACTGTAACGAAAGATGGATATTGTTATTGACGAGTGGTCGAATTTGAGTCAGTGCCTTGACACCACTTACCAGCTTACCTTTCAGAACACCCTTCCTGTTCACTTACAGAGGAAGGACAAGAACAAGTAGAGAATGTTTAACTGTTATAATGCTTTCGTTCCTTTAAGTGTTATCCTGATTCCTTTTCGTAGAGCCTAGGTGTTATAAAATAGAAGTGCTGTCTCGGCCTCTGACGTTCTGACTGTATCGTATAGTACAACCTGGAGACCTTACCAAGATCCATAGCGCAAATTCAAAGACCATCGAAAGAGACAAGTGCAGTACCTGAAGATAGAGATTAAAAGCCCAACTCGGAGATAGCTGCTGATTTAGCCAATTTTATTAGAGAACTTGTTCTCGAGTCTCCCAAAACACAGTATTTCCAGTCAATGCCTGCTTCGGAGAAATGCTACTCCAAGTGGGTCAAACAAGTGAAGGTCTACATTCAAGACTTTCCCGTTGTAATGCAAGGCTGTGTGGTCTTGGGGCTTTTTCCCGGAGAGATCTCTGATATTGTGACAGACAATGACGTATTAGAAAAAGGAATCAGCATTACTACATTCGAAGGACCCGGGGAACTCCCGGATTCAGCCCTTCTTCCCTTCGGCAGGAGACCAACCTTCCTTGTACATGGAAAAGTGAGATTTTTTGCACGGGATCTGAGACGGCTGGGAGGACACGCATTTGCCGATAACTGAGATACGAGAAAAGCGCCCATTACAACAGTTAGTGGATAGGATACACACGTAATCGGTTCGGAGTGAGCTGCTATTGCATCCTCTGGACCGATGGGACACAGCTGTGGAACGCGCAGAACGGCTGGAAGGTATCCGTGCGGTAATCGGTACTGCGCCATTCTACTGTTGTGCTGCAAGAAGACGTTATCGACTCCGATATAAGGCATGGGAACGCATATCGGGCACATTAGCGCATCGCGGGTACCATCGCCCCCCCCCCTCTGACCAGGCTAGCCGAATTTCCGAAGATTCCACCCACAATCACCGACATACGGAAACCATGAACTACCACGTGACAGCCGAAATTATTCAGATAAGCGTAATCAAGAGAAGCCAGGTTTTAAACCTGCGATTACCAACTCCCCAAGCAGTACTTCGGCACTGAGGTCAGAATTTCAGATTTCAAGGGTCCCATTGACAAGTTTGATCGACACGAGTACTTGCAAAAGTTTGATTAGATCCAACTCTACTACACGGCTGGCAAGGTGCGTATGGGCACCATGCCGTGACTATTTGATCGCTGCCAAAGGAGAACCCCTTACCGTACGGGAATCTATTACAGCACTAGTTGAGATTACGAACGACGAATTGCACAACGAGTTCATTGTTGCAGACAGAATCCCGTTCGCGGCTATTATTAGAATGGATCTATTGAGCCGACTGAAATTGTGATTAGACTTAGACAAAGCTCCGACTGATCACCAATCATTATAATATTCAGATCTTACCAAAGTGATTATGCAGTAGCTTTTGCAATTCTTGAAAACAGCCCTGATAACGCGCGGTACATAGAAAACTTTGTTCATTCCCTCCGCCTGTTGACTGGCAAGTTGGCGTTGGAAAGACTCAAGTGAAGACCGCGAGATTACTCATAAGCATTCGCGTGAAGAGCTGGAGATTAGAGTTGAACCAGCGTCCTTAAACACTCGGAAAATACCAGTGCTGCGAGACCGATTAAGACTCTACTACTGCGAAACCCAATACATTGGCATAGTGTGCTACAAAAGCTTATAGATGAAAGGTTAAAGAAAATGTAGTGTGCCCCTCTACTTCACCATGGGAATCACTAGTGGTGCTGGTCAAGAAGAGAGACGGTGGTTGCCGGTTGTGCATGCACTATAGATCGTTAAACGTAGTCACACGGAAAGGCATTCCCATTCGTAGAATCGGTGACATGTTTGATGAACTTGGCGGATCAGCCTATTTTAGCAAACTGGATCTGGCTTCTGGGCACTGGCAGGTAGAAGTCGAGGAGAGTGATCAGGCGAAAACAGGGTCTGTGGAACGATACGGCCCTTAGAATTTCAGGTGATCGTCTTGTTATCAAACGCGCCTGCAAAAGTTCAAGGCCTAGTGCAAAAAGATTTGAACTGACTGACTCCCCAAAAGTGACTTGTTTACTTGATGTTATTGACTAGGAGAAAACGAAGGAAGAACATTTAATCACTACGTCGGAGATGTTGACACGCCTAATCGATGTGAGCCTCAAATTACAAACGGCAAAGCGACACTTACTAGAAGAAGAGGTGACCTACCTTGATCCCGGCATTTCGAGGACGAGCATTCGGACTGATCGTCGTAAGACCGAGCAGGTGAAAGTATAGCCAGTCACAGTCAACGCCGACCAGTTTCACTCATTCATTCAGATGCAGCTCATCAGTGGACAAATTCCCAACTTGAGCGTTCAGGTTCCAGGAGGCACTACAGTGTCTGTGTTTCTTCTGTTGCGAAGATGCTAGTTCAGTTGACGAAAGAAGTCGTCTTTTACCGAGTCGTCGTTATACTTTGTGGGCGTGTAGACCGTGATGACAAACAGACACCTATTAATCCCGCGTGACTTCTAAGCTTTGAACGAGCCAGCCAGTCGGACCGCACACATCCAGCTACTGATTGGGATCCAAGCAACCAGAGCAGCTTCAACCCGGGGATTCACGCCAATACCAAGACTGGCTTAGCCGGTACTCGAAGCGCAATGAGAAAGCACTGCTACTATCACCTGAAGGGGATCGCAGAATGAGAACAGAGCTCGGGTCTCGTAGGCGGGTTTCCAATAGGCAGCAGATAGCGATCGGGAGGGTCTCTGATGTTCGGGCATGTGCTGCCTGTTGACCCGTCTGGAACAATGTGCGTACGTTGAGGCATGATCATATGAATGAGAATCGAGGGTTCCAAATGGAAGCCAATGAACTGGGGTGGACCGCTTGATTGGACATGGGCTTGTCGATATGGCAAGAATGACGCTCCGCGTTTGCATGTGAGTTGAAACTATATAAACGCATCCAAACCCCTATCCACTCTGCTCGATGCGGCAGATAGAGCACCGTTGATGGCTAGGACATCAGGAAATTAAGTGAGGAAAGATTCATTGTATTGCGTGGGCAGGATACTGTCAGGTTTCCCAGGCCTAGACAGGAGAACGATTAAGGTTCGCAACCAAAGCCTTTGGTTCAAAAACCTGACCGTAAGGCAGCGGGTTCGGCAGTGGACTACAAGGAGTTTTAAGGAATAGGGAGCCAAGCTCATTCCAACCCCCGACCTGGAGGGCCAGGAGACTGAATGTGTCTCTCCTATAACCATTGAGCAATCTGGTAGCAGTGGATCTGAAGGTGCAAAAAAGCACCACCCAGCATAGCTCAATGGATCGCTGAGGCAGGCAAACTATCGCACCATGGTAAGTTCCTGCCAAATTGGGATGGCCGACCAGTTACGCAGCTTTCCTGGTCTTGCCTCATACTATAGACGATTTATTAGGAGATTCTCTGACATTGCCACAACGTTAAGTGCACTGCTGTAAAAAAAGCAGCCTTTCGAATGGTCCACAGAACGTCAGAAGGCGTTTTATCTGTTACAAGTCCCTTTGCACGACCGCTTTGTTGGTTTCCCAGATTTATCACTAACATAGGAAAAGTTCATCTTAGACACCGACGCAAGTGACTATGCGATCGAGGCCGTTATCACAGAAGAGGACTGACGGAGTAGAACGAGTGGTGACTTATGGTAGCAGAGGCCTCATTTCGAAAGAAATGAACTACTGCACGAGTAGAAAGGAAATGTTGGCCTTGATTTTCTTCATAAGACCAAATCGACATTAGCTGCTGGACGGATTAGCAGTCGCGCCGATGACTACAGAATTTCAAGGTTACTGAGGGACCAATTGGTCGATGGCAGGACAGCTACAGGAATATGATTTCAAATGTCACCACCGGTCAGGAAAACAACAAGACAGCGGACGCGCTCTCAAGAATTCCACTGTGATCACGGAGATTGTCCTTACTGCATTACACAACACGCAGCGCTAGTTAATCTCCAAAGGGCTGAGTATGGTCGTTGGCAAG